CTCAGCTAGCTTTTTTGTACATCCCAGGCCTACCCACAGTGGACTGGGCCCTCCTACCTCAATTAACAACCCTCCACAGTTATGCCCACAGCTGGTCCTATCTGGGATTTCCTTCAATTGAGTCTCCCTTCTCTGGTGACTCTAGACTGTGTCAAGTTGACAGTTGCAGTTAACTAGGACACTAATTTTGAAAAGAATTCAGAAATAATTCAAAAGCTTTGACTGACCAGGGTTTGCACAGTGCTTTCCCACCTGGCTCTCCATAGTCTCTTTGAATCCTTTGGCCCTTCTGGAGCAGCCATCGGATCGTGCATTTAGACACAAGATGCTGCTTTATCTGGCGTTCAGATTCCATATGGACCAGTAAGGACTACGGTCAGTGCCTAGAAGAATCCAAAACTGCAGGGTTAGCCTGGCAGATCTTGGTACAGAGGGTTTTTATCTTGAAATTGTGTGAAAGAAAACATGAGTGAGTTTACTAGTAACTGGGGAAAGTTTTATACTATAGATTAAACATAAATATTAAATTTGATTGAAACGCTTTTGGAAATGAAACAAGACCATGGAGAGTCTACGTTGTAGCTCTGGTACCACCCAGACTGGAGAAATAATGCTGTCAGTCCTCTGATCCTTTCAATATGTTGTCACTTTGTTTCCTGCCTGTTAGTCTCTTGTCCCTGCATCAAGAATAAGCTTCATGCAAATGGGGAGTCTGCTTAATTTGTTTTCCTAGCCTCCTGTCATGTGTCGAAGTGTGGCCTGGGGATACTTTCCTTGTCCCCAGATGGAGATTTGGTCAGCCCCTTTGTTTTCAAGAAATTTCAGTTTGTGGAGGGGAGCACCAGCAACTCATCCTCTCTGTCTCTGCCCTGTTGATGGGTGGGGTGGTAGGAACACCTCAGGCCATACCCTCAGGTTCCAGCTGCCTTCCACACAGGCCAGGACAGTTCTACAACTCTTGGGCCAAGCAGGTGTGAATGAAGTTGCCTGTTCCCAGCTTGTAGGAGGGATGAGGTGTCTCAGAAACCTACTGAGTCATTGCACCTTAGTCACTTGGTCACGTTACTGTCGCGCCATCTGCTGGGAAAATAGAAGTACTGCAAGCCTGGGGCTGTTCAGGCCTTTATCCCATCAGCATTCATTGGTACATTACGTGTTTATTAAGCACATACTCTATGCTAGACATCTTTCCTGAGGGCACAGAATTAAGCAAAATACTTAGCACTTCTGGTCATGGAAGTTGTTTACTGGGACACACAGACAGGAAACAAACCAGCGGAATTTGTAACATATTATGTGGTGATATGTGTGTAAGGCAGTGTTGGGGTCTGTGTGGAAGAGGGTTGAGAACAGGACTCACTAGTGTTGGGATGATCACCCAGGAAGGTGCAGTGGCCACAAATGGTAGGATCCCAGAGGAGCCCTGACTGGTGCTGATGGCAGTTGGGGAGTGAGCCCCTAGGAGGGCAGTCAGTCAAGATTCAGAGAGGACCTCAGGAAATGGTGGGGAAAGGCCCGTTTATGAAAAGCCATTATCTCCAGTGCAGGCAGAATACTTTCTCCAGTGCTTCTAGCCACGTCCCTGGGTAAAATTTGCAAGGAGCATTTTTTTTTGAGACAGGGCTTCTCTGTAGCCATAGCTGGCCTGAAACTTGCTGTGTAAACCAGGCTGACCTTGATCTCACAGCAATCTGCCTGCCTCTGCCTCCTGAGAGCTGGGATTAAGGACACGTGACACCCCACAAGAATTTTAATTTTTAAAAAATAATTAACTTTTGAAATTTGCCCTGTTCTGACACTTTTCTGGTTTGCTGTTTGGAACTTGTAATGCTAACTACTTTGTCCTTTACTTCTTCACATCCCCTATTCACCAGTCAAGGACTTTCTTTTCTCGAAGAAGCCAGGGTGGTCTGCATACTGATTCCCTATCTGCAAGTTAGGTAACCTCTTCAGATGATGGTGTGATAAGAATAGAAGGTGGGAATTGGCTAGGCAGTTAGGGTAAAAAAGACCCAAAGAAAAGTAGCCAGTTTCTTGGCTAAAAGTCAAAATGTCCTTGGGCTTCTTAGCAGCATACTCTGTTCCTAAGGCCAAAAATGTTGAAAGTATTTGGGAGCTTTTATATAATCCTCAAAAGGTTTTAGGGTTACCTTTTGTTAGAGTAGCAAAAGTCCCATTTAAAAAAAAAGAAGAAA